TGGTGGTGGTGGTGTTGTTGTTGGTGTTGTTGTTGGTGTTGTGGTTGTTGTTGTTGTTGTTGTGGCGTTGTTGTTGTTGTCATTGTTGTTGTTGGTGTTGTTGTTGGTGTTGTGGTTGTTGTTGTGGCGTTGTTGTTGTTGTCATTGTTGTTGTTGTTCTTTTCCTAGTCTTTGTTTTAGTTTGGGCTAAATGGCCTCCCTTTGATTCTAGGATGTTATAAATAGATTCGGCTTTTGTTTTCTTTCAGAACGAGGCTGTGTACCTTTTCACGGAGGGCACGTCTATCGACAGCGGAAAGGAAGTCTTGCTGGAAAAGGTAAAGTGTTTGGGAAAATGAACTACAAGAGAAATGTCGGCAAACTGTTGGACTGTTCCAATCCTAGAAAACAGTTTTCAGAAGAGAAAAAAATAAACAAGAGTTGTAATTCCGGGAAACTTTACTCCTAGGTTATGTTTTCTTGCTTTTTTTTAATAATTGGAATTTGAATTTCCACCAAATATTTCACAAGTTTAGAAAATGAAAAAATATGTTAGGTTGCTAGATGACTGGGACAAAGCTGACCTTTCCTCGCTGAATTTGTTGAAAAGAACTAAACCAATGGACTGATATGATAAGCTTTCAGTTGACATTTGCTGTGTCCGTCCGACTTGTTGGGTAAATAAGCTTCTTTTGACGTCAGGTGAGTACCGCCAAGACGAAGGTCCCGATCAATGTGGTGTCCTTCAACTGCGACAGCTCCAACACCATCAAGTTCCTCAAAGATTTTGTCAAGACTACAGGTGGCAAGTGAGTCATTTTGTTGTCACGTACTGTTTGTATTTGTTTTGTCAAGACTACAGGTGGCAAGTGAGTCATTTTGTTGTCACGTACTGTTTGTATTTGTTTTGTCAAGACTACAGGTGGCAAGTGAGTCATTTTGTTGTCACGTACTGTTTGTATTTGTTTTGTCAAGACTACAGGCGGCAAGTGAGTCATTTTGTTGTCACGTACTGTTTGTATTTGTTGTCTTCTTCAGACTCAGTTGATTCTCCTCCCATTCTTGAGTGGTTAGATTGAAATCTTTGCCGTCTTATTCAGGTAATCCAAAGCACATTTTGTCAAACATGTCTTTGTTTTCTGATGTGCCATCTCCAAAGAGTATATTAGCAACAAGTCTTTGATTTCTGTAGTGCAATCATTTTTATCCCGTTCAAGTTGTCCAAAGAGTATATTACAAATAAGTCTTTGTTTTGTTTTGTTTTTGTTAATGCAAACAAACGTTACGTTTGGTGGGTGGTTGGCGGGTGCTATGGTGAGGTTTGCTCCTTCTCTGCTATCAAACATCTATCGTCCTTATCTCTCCTCCTCCTTTCCTATCAAACATCTATTGTCCTTATCTCTCCTCCTTCTTTCCTATCAAACATCTATTGTCCTTATCTCTCCTCCTTCTCTGCTATCAAACATCTATCGTCCTTATCTCTCCTCCTTCTTTCCTATCAAACATCTATCGCTCTGATCTCCCCTCATTCTTTTATATCTGTATGTTACTCTCTAGTAACACCTCTAATCTTCCACACTTATATGACCTAATTGTGTTGCAAGTGCCACAAAACTCTCACTAAAAACCTAAACAAGAGCCTCTGTGACTGTCCAGATTCCACGCGTACGCCGTGGTCATGGAGCTAGACGCGTACGAGGCTCAGCCGGCCGATGGCGTGACCAGCAAGGCCAACATTCTGCTGCGACGTAAGACGTTTGGGGGGATCCCGGCGGGGGCGGGCGTGAGGGAGGACGTGGTGCTGGTCTTTGAGGAGATGGAGCAGGCCAGGAACAACCTGGCACAAGTGAGGATGCTCATCGAGAACGCCCCGGACCCTAACCGAGCCAGCAAAGGTAAGGACTGTTCTCTTGTCATGTGACCTCCAACATTTCACCGGTAGCGTGCTCAAATCTGCTACACCCACAGAGCAACATTTGTCCGGAGACAGAAAAAAAAAACTTTAATTTTTTGAACAATTTTACCTACGTCTTGTATCTCTTCTGGGTTTTTTCAGCGTTTAAGATTGGAATTTAGACCAGATGTTTCTGCAGCTCATGCAGCTGATATCACAGATGGAGAAACTGCCAGGAAAATGATGTTGCTAAATGTTGGGCGTAGTACATTTGAACAGCTAGCCGAGGATTTCTCTGAGGTGTAAATATAGTGTTCTTCTGGTCACTGCTTGCCGTTGGAGACAGTTGTCTAGTCCTGTTATAGTCACTGCTTGCCGTTGGAGACAGTTGTCTAGTCCTGTTATAGTCACTGTTTGTGGTTGGAGACAGTTGTCTGCTTTAGTTGTCACTGACAGCTGTTCTCACATCTTGCTCTCAGAACCTGGGACCTGACTACGTACATGACGTGAAAGAACTAGGGAAATACGGCAAGTTCAAGTAGGGAAATAGGGAAACTTCCAATAATAATAATAATAATAATAATAATAATAATAAATAGCATTTGTATAGCGCATATCCCCGCTCAACAGCAGG